CTGAGCCACCCAGGCGCCCCTATATATCTATTTTTTAAAAAGATTTTATTATTTATTTGACAGAGAGAGATGGCAAGAGAGGGAACACAAGCAAGGGGAGCTGGAGAGGGAGAAGCAGGCTTCCCATTGAGCAGAGAGCCCAATGTGGGGCTCGAACCCAGGACGCTGGGATCATGACCTGAGCCGAAGGCGAATGCTCAAAGACTGAGCCGCCCAGGCGCCCCTATATTTTAAAAGACTACTCTGAGAAGCAATCAATAGGTTTTACCAAACTCCAAAAGGGTCCATGGCACAAAAGTGGTTAAGAACCTCTCTCTGATCTAGATGACATACCCTGTTTACCTCTCATCCTCATATTTATCTGGTGCTTTTTTGCTTCCATTATAAATCTTACCACAATTTGAAATTATTTTATTTATTTGTTTATTTACTTTTCATTCATATACTTATGTTCTTCACTGGAATGTAAATTTCATAAGGTTGACAACTATGTCTTTCTTGCTGTGTACCCCTGAGCCTGGTACATTGAGAACCTGGTACATCAAGAGCTTTCAATAGGTATGCAGTAAATGGGTGAATATATGACAATACTAAGAAAAACAGCACGAATGAATATGAGAGGTTGCAGGATAAGGGGGGAGAAGTGAGGGAATAGATAAGAAAAGGGGGTAAAAGAAGATGAAGGGAACAAGAAAAGGAAGAAAAAGGAGAACACAGAGAGAATACAGCTGTATGAGAGAAGAGATTAAAAAGATTTTTGGAGAAGTTGCCATTCCAGCGATTTCTTTTTTACTAATTCAACCACTTCCCCTCTGTAACTTCTTTCCTTGATGTGGAATAGAATCTAACAGGTATGCATGCAAAAGCCAGGGGTAGGGGAGAAGTCAGGCATGGGTTTTATGGGGATTTCTGGCCCAGGAATCTTGTGATAGACTTGACCTGAAGTAATATTTTCAGTTCACTTATAAACTGATACAGATCTCATTGATTTTTTTTTAAAGATTTATTTATTTGACAGAGAGAGATGAAGCGAGAGCAGGAATACAAGCAGGGGGAGTGGGAGAGGGAGAAGCAGGCTCCCAGCTGAGCAGGGAGCCCGATGCGGGGCTCCATCCCAGGACCCTGGGATCATGACCTGAGCCGAAGGCAGACGCTTAACGACTGAGCCACCCAGGCGCCCCAATCTCATTGATTTTTAATGATGCCTATTTTCTCTTTGATTCTGGAAATTAAGCCAAGCACCATTGGCTCTTTCTTGTCACAAAAATGATGCAGCTTGAAGCCGAGGCTGCCCTTTTTCTGGCATCTCAGAGATGAGACCTAAAGCTTCCCAACGTGAACTGCCTTTTCCACTTCCACATTCAGTGTCCCAGCCAACTGAGTCAGCCGGCAGGACTTAGTGAGTGAGTGACAAGGGTATCAGAAAAAGGAAAAGGGAAGGGTGAGGAGGGGGAGGAAGGAAGGTAGAAGAGATCCCTTTCTACTTGGCTTCCAAAGCAGAAACCACAGTTCCACCCTCGGACAATCTCTCTTAAGAAGAGATAGTCAAATACTGGAAGTGTCCCACCCAAACTAATGATGCCAGTGATTTTCCTGTAACACTGGGGACAACAGCTGTGTTTACCTAGTGCCCTAAACAGGAGTGAGTTACTGTGCTTCTTATAAGCAATGGTACTGAGTGTATTATTGCCCGTAATTGGGAGGGGGAACATAAGCTAAAATAAGAGTGCTCGAGGAGGCCAGCACACGAGCAATTTCTCCATGTAGGGAATGGAGAAGAACTCATCTTTACGCGAGGGAAATGAATCAGACAGGATGCCAGATTGCGTCTGCTTTGCCTTTCCTAGAGACCTGTGCTCAGATCTGGGGCCTCAATGGATTTTTCGCCGTCTAAGAGGAACAAGATTCCCAGGAAAGCACTGATACCTCATCCTTTCATTAGAGCCTGTGATAGTTTCTCTGAATCTCAAAGACATACAATTTAGATAATGTCTGCTTAGAGGATTCTCCTCCCCACCCATCCACCCCACCCACTTCCAGTTACCTCCTACTGTTCTTTTGTACCTCACCTCGATGATCATGTTTAGAAGAGTGTTCCCATCTTTCCTGATTATGTCAGTTCTTATCTTACTTTTTCAGATCTTTATGTACTTCTCTTCTGTGTACATGGCTGTAGAGACAATCTTTTTTTATTCATTTAATTGTTTGATCAATATCCAGATCAATATCTGACTACAGTCCCTTGAGAGCAGGTCCTGTCCTGTTGGTGGGCACCATTCAATCCCCAGCACCTAGTACAGTGCCTGACAGTTAGAGGTAGTATTTGTTGGAAGAATGGAAGACAAAAACTTGGGAAAGAACTTAACATTATAGAATTATGCAATTAAAAGTATTTAAAACTTTAATGGATTTAGATGACTGTTTTTTGAGAAATGTCAAAATTTTTATATGTATTTATATAGAATAGAGATGATTCTTTTGAGTGAGATCATGGGCTATGTACTTTATTTCTCCTTCTAAGAGAAAATAAGATAGGTGCTCCCCTGGGTTTTTTATATTAGCCTTTGGCATCCTTCTGAATATATACTTTCATTCTCCAGGTTAGAACTGTTAATTCATCACTTAGACTTCCTATCACATGTCATCTAAACCCCCAGTGCTCACAAAATCCAGAAAGTGCCAGGAAATGGGCAGATAAAATTTGATATAATGACACTTTAGCATGACCCATCAAATCTAGTAATTCCTAAAGACGTCTGTGTGTGTCAAAGTTGCCCTGAATGCCCTTTGGCCCAGAGAAGTGCCTTACCCAGAAACATGTGTAGGATGTTAGAATGAGCCCCCTTTTATTCATTCAATAAAATTTCCTGCCCTTGTGTATATTTTTTCTACTGGAGAGAGACAGAGAAGCAAATAAGTAAATAAAATGTACAGTGTGATGGGAGGGAAGTGCCTTATAGATGAATACAGCAAGGAAAAGACATCAAGAGTCTCAGAGGGAGTGGCAGAGTTGCCATTTTAAATAGACTCGTGAAGGAGGACGTTTTTGAGAAAGTGACATTTAAGCAGAGATTTGAAGAAGGTGAGAAAGGAGCCATCATCCTATCTCAGGGGAGTCTGTCCCAGGCTGAGGGATTACAAGTGCTACTGAACAGAGGCATATGTGTGCCTGATCTGTCTGAGGAACAGCAAGGAGGCTGAAATGGGTGGATGAGAAGAAGTGAGAGGACTGTTGTAGGAGAGGAGGTGAGTACTGACTATTCCTTGAAGGTCATAGCAAGGAGTTGGCCTTTTATTCCAAGTGAAATGGGGAGCCACTTTGCTAACAGAGGAGTCACATGATCTGAGTTATAGAATAGATTCTCAACACAGTTATAATCTCAGAGGCAAAAGAAGAATTGGGAAGATGAGTTAATGAGCCCTTATAATAAACCAAGCATGGGATGGTGGTGGCTTATGGGTAGAGGTGGTGGAGATGTGTTAGGATACAGAAAAACCCTGAGCCAGTTGTTCTTACAAAATTCTTCTGGTTCTCTATTTTGCTAGCCTTTCACTTACTCATCTGAATATTCTAAGCAAAAGCATATATTTCTACATTTGTACTTTCTATGTCATCTTTGAAAAATATTCCAGTTCCCTTCATTGAGAAAAAAATATATTGTTACAAGGTGTATCTAGTAATATAAAATATAAGTAAATTCTATATTTCTTCATATGGCAAATATTTATTGAACAGCTACTATTCCAAGGTCTTCTAGGAAATATATTATGTAAGATGTTGAAGAGAAAAAGGTTCTCAAAATGTCAACTAAAGGTTGATTTCATAATTTTGGAATGCAATAAATGAATTTTGCTTTTACTTCTCTAACTATGCCAATGTGGGAGAAAAAAAAAGTAGAATAGTGAAATTTCTTTGTGCTGCTTGTCCTTTTTATAAATTTTTAAAAATTTTTTTTCAAGGGGTATTCAAAATATAGTGCTATATCTTGGCAGCAATGAAATTCCAACTTAAAAAAAAATCTAGACTTTCTATTTATAATACTAAGATAATGCTATTTATTACTAGGAAATCCTCAACAATTTCATCTTTATTTCATATATAAACATGAGATTTACATTACAGATCTTTATTTAAAAAAATTAGCTGGCAATGGGAGGGAGATAAACTGAAGATCTAAATTGAACCAATGTAGCTTTGCCTCACCCTCAATCTTTATATCCTGCATCTAAATTATCCCTTATGAGTAATTGAATACCTGGCAGGGAGTATCTTTCAAAGGATAGAAGGAGAGATTTATTAAGTTGTATTCTATTGGGACCAAAGTAACAACTCTAATAGTATGGAGTAGAACTTTGCCAGGTGTTACTCCAGTGATCTAAAAACTCTAAGTTAGCTAATTTACTAGGTGACATTTTAGTGACTGCAAATTTATTTTTCTTTTTTTTTACCAGAGTGAAACTCTTTTTTTTTTTCCATACAATCATTTTATTTTTTTATTTTTTTTTATTCTTATGTTAATCCCCATACATTACATCATTAGTTTTAGATGAAGTGTTCCATGATTCATTGTTTGTGCATAACACCCAGTGCTCCATGCAGAATGTGCCCTCCTCAATGCCCACCACCAGGCTAACCCATCCTCCCACCCCCCCTCCCCTCTAGAACCCTCAGTTTGTTTTTCAGAGTCCATCGTCTCTCATGGTTCATCTACCCCTCCTATTTTCCCCCGCTTCATTCTTCCCCTCCCGCTACCTTCTTCTTCTTTTTTTTTTTTCTTAACATATATTGCATTATTTGTTTCAGAGATACAGATCTGAGATTCAACCGTCTTGCACAATTCACAGCGCTTACCAGAGCACATACCCTCCAGAGTGAAACTCTTTTAAGAAGGCAAGCCCTGGCTTTTCATTCCTTTCCTAGGATGTCCTAGGAATTGCTCTGTTCAAGTAGCCAAGTTGCCTCTAAAATATAAACTTATGTGAAGAGACATACTCCAACACATTTCATAACCTGGAGTTATTCAAATCTAGATTTAACTGTGCTTTAGAGATTCACCAAAATGACATCTAGCAGTTCAACAGGGAGAAAAACATTGGTGTCATCTACATCTCTCACAGAACTCTTATTTCATTGGGCAGGTTTTCCATGAGAGAGAGCTCTGACATAGGTTGCTATTGAATATTTGAACTGTGGCTGGAGTGACCGAGGAATTGATTTTTCATTTTATTTAATTTTAATTAATTTCACCTTAAATTTTACAAGCCACACACTGCTAGTGGCTACCGTACATCTAGAATGCCTATTGTGAGGTCATGATAGGGTCCCATATGCTATTAATAGTTAGGAGAGAGAAAAAAGACAATTATTGAAAGGTAAGAATAATTTTCTAAATACAGAAAGAACTGAGTATTTCCAATAGTTTTTTGTTAAAGCAAAATGGAATGGAAAAAGAAAATCAAAGATTATTAGATTGAGAAGAAGCCAGAGAGCACCTGGTCCAATTACAGATAAGAAATCTTTTTAGTAATCTGCAGTCGCAGCCTATTGCTGCTTAAATTTTGGCAAAAGGCGATGACACCAAAAAAGCTTAAAAAGTTTTAAAAAGTGAAATAGTTATTTGGATTTTAAAAAAGTAAATAAGACAAAGTGGTAAATTTTAATAGTAACAAATGTATTTTACTTCTTAGGCAATGGGAAGGATTATGGAAAAGATTACAAGCTTATTTTTCATTTACAAAGAAAACCCAGGCTGGAACTCCAAATCAAAGAGGTGGATGAATTTGGAAACTATAGCTGCCCTCATTATAAGGGCACCATTGTAGTTCATAAAATACCTAAAGAAAAGGTAGTCCACAACTTGGATCAATCTCTTATACTTGATGAAAACCATTATCAGTTGCCAATTTGCAAATTACCACTGAAATTGCCAAAGGTAAGTTATTTTACTTCCTTAACTACCATATTTTGTTGATTCTTCATAATTCTCTACCATAATCTATACTTCATGCATATGGATACTTAAGGTTAAAAAGAAAGGCAGGTCTAGAGTTGATAAGGAAGGAGTGGGTAGCTACAGTTTTAGAGTGGTGGAATACATATCAAGATTTTCACTTTCTTTCATCCTGACTTTCTAACAGGAATAATTCAAGTTGGTCTGGTCCTGATAGTATGTTCTTAATGGTTATGGAAATAATGTCATTATTTTCTGTAACTGCATCAGAATAACTGGAAAATCATTTATGAAACACTGAATATATTTCAGAGCACAACACATTTAAGAAGTCAAATGGTGAGCAGGAAAACAACTTCAAAATATTTTCATCCAGACTTGTCAAATCCTGCACACTAAAGAGTGAATTACTCTTACCTAAAATCCTTATTCTTTTTTTAAATTTAATTTTATTATGTTATGTTAATCACCATACATTACATCATTAGTTTTTGATGTAGTGTTCCATGATTCATTGTTTGCGTATAACACCCAGT